ATAATATTTATATTTATTATTTTATTAATATTATATTAATAAATTATTAATAATATTAATAATTTAATATTATTACTTATGTTTGTTAGGGTATTTAATTGTGTTATTTTTACCTTAAATTATGTGTGTTTGTTGTTTTAAGTTCATCGAAATGGGTATTATTTAGGATCTGGGAATGGATTAATTTACTTTGTTATTTCTAATAGAAAAAATTGATTTGGAGTTCAAACGACCACCTGGAATGAATTAAATTCAAAGGCACCACTGTGTTTTCTTTGTAATTTCTACTTTTTCAGTTTGAATTTAGTCAGTAATTCTTTATAATGGTTTTTTTTTAAACCAAAATATTATTGATTTCATAGTGTCTCAATATATTTGTAATTATATATTAAATTTTATGAATAAATAAAAAAGTAAATTCATAGCCATGTCGTAATCAGTAATTGGCCGGTTCAGATTGTTTTTCTCTTGTAATTTTGTGCTTTACCAAGTTTATATTTACTGTCTAAGAATTAATTTAATAAATTTTTAAAATAAGTTTTTAATAAAATACTATAAAATTTATTTTAATTTTATAACTCTAAAGATTTAATGAATAATATAGTAATGATTTCAAATGTAGTCAGTGAATAGATATTTTTCAGTGGAACATTGGAAATCAACCATTGCAGTGTACTTTATTTTAGAAATGGTTTCTCCTGCAATATCAATAGTATTGCATATTATTTTATGCTCTACAATGACTTAATGAATTGATTTTCATTATGATAAATATATAATTTAAGAAATTACCATCACTTAATTTGTATTTCTGTCATTTTTTTTCTGTTAAATATTATTATATATTTTTTTAAAGAATTTCTTATAAAACTAAAAATACTGAAGTAACTTCATTTTGTTCATGCTTATGTGATTTAAAATATTCTTAGTAAAAACCTATTTCAAAACGATATTAAAAATGTATTTTTTATTTAAAAACGAGCAATTTTTTTTTTCAGTCCTCCTATCACTAAAAATACTTTTCATAAATTTGAAATTGAAGTACCCGAAGACTTAAGAGAATAGTAAGTATTGATATACATGTTTATTTTCTTTTTTAGTAATTTAATGAACTCACCATATTAAACTTTAAATATCTTTTAATAAAATTTCATCAGACATTGTTGCTTATACATCTAAACTTTTATACATCTTTTATACATAAATTTTATATCATTTTATACTATTTATACATCTAAACTTATAAAATTATATGATAGAAGAGTGACATTCTATGAAATTATATGAGCAACTCACAGAAAGAAAGGAAGTAAGATTATCTGTTCCTTGTATTTAATTAGCAGACATCAATATAAGAAAGGGAAACAAAATTTTGGTTGATGGATGATAGCTTTGAGTTTATTAGACTGGTAACAATGACTGACTGTTTTTGGCATTTGTGTCAAAGACAATGTTTATTATGTTTTTTATGAAGAATGTTGAATCAAGTTAATTTGTAGCTTTTATTTTATTAAACATTTATTTTTTATATATTTATTTTACTATTATTATTATTATATTTTGACAAAGCCCAGTGGTTTGTGTTCAGTTTTCATGCTAATAAACACTTGTTGCTTACTTAACTGTTTGTCATTTTTCATTCAGTAAAAATCAAATGAACAATATGATTTTATTAAGTCATATATATAAATTTTTTAAGTTAAATTTGCTGAAAGTTGCAAGTTCACTTATTAATAAAAATTTATCAGTAAGATATCCTTGTGTGATGTAAGTTATTAAAAGCAGCCCAAAAAATTTTAGGCTTAAAAAAAATTCACAGAAACTGGTAACTGAAACGATAAATAAAGATCATTCCATTATCAGTTTCTTTGGATTTTTTTAAATTTAATTTTCTTAACATAAATTGGAAATAGACACTTTTCAATTACAGACTTTGATTTAATAATGCATTTTTGTAAATGCATTATTAAATCAAAGTAGTTAAGGAGGTGTGTACAAATATTAATAAATTTAACACTTCTAAAAATTTATGATAAAAACAGAAAAAATATTAAGGAAATTAATTTAAAGAGATATGCATTTAGAAATATATAGGTGTACTTATCTCAAACATCATATAATAATTTTAGTTTGATAATGATTTAATTTACAAATAATAATCTTTCTTCAAAATAGAAAAAAATTAATTTATTTTAGTAATTATATGCATTTGTAATTCAGTTTTATGTCTGTTTTGATGCATGAAATAATTTCAGAGAGAGTATAATTCTAGTGAAACTATCCAGAATTTGAAATGAAATTATTATTAATATGTTAAACATACATTATTTATACCGTTGCAGATTTAATTTAGTTAAGAAATTTTATATGATAGATTAAATGTACAAAAAATGATTGTATCTTGAATTTTATGATATATGCTAATTATTTTATAAAAATATTAATATTGTTTATTAAAAAATATATAAAATAAGAAATATATATTTATAAAATTCTTATAATATAAACAAATTAAATTTGTTTGAAACAGAAAAGGTATAAAGTTTTAGTTTGTATTATTTAATATTTTGTTTCTTGAAGTATGAAAATATAATAATTTCAATATATTTAGTTCTAAAATGGAATCTGCCCATAAAGATTTTAAGAAAGCTGTTGATGCTGCATTATGCCGGTTTAATCCTGAAAAAAATTGCTTAACTATTCTTGTAAGTATAATATATTATTTTTAATAATTAAAAAATTTAAATAGACTATTATAAGCTTTAATAATGAATTAATGTTTACTGAAATATTTTTATAATAGTTTTATCTAAATATTTAAACATATCAAAAGAGCCATAAATTACTACAGACAAAAATAATATTAACAAGAATCTAAGCATTGACATTCATAAAAACTGGCTACAATTATTAAAATAGAATGTTGATAGTCACAGGCGAGGCTGTGTGCGACACTTGAGGAGTGAGACGTTACAAGTTATGAGGCATGTGGGGGAGGCTGCCAAGTCAGAAGGGGAGTGGGAAGTACCTATCTATGTAACAGACTGAAGAGGAGTGAAAGCCCGAAACGCATATCTATGAATTAAAAGTGGACGAAATTATTTGCCAAGTGTCGAAAAATGCACCAAGTCGTGACATTGAATTAGAAGAGTCATAAATCATTAAATTAAAATCATTCTTAAATTGTACATTTAGCTTAAAAAATAATGAATTTTTAAATATATTTTAAGGTTTTAAGAACAGTTTATTTCAAAATTATTACAATTTGTCTTATAAGAACATTTCTTAATAATAATGTAATATCAATACAAATAAAACAAAATCTACTTTTTGTATCAATACAAATAAAATAAAACTAATTTTATTTTAATTGTATTGAATCATTAATAGGCTTTGAAATTATAATGAGTAGACTAGTGATATGAATGGAACATTATTCCATTTATTTCATTTATTTATAAATTGACAAAAGAAAAGTCTAAATAAAATAATTTTATAATCTAATATTTTGAAAATAAACAATATACAAGTCATTTGTTAGTTGCCACTTGAAAGAAAACATTTTAATTTTCTTAGATGTAGAATTGTGATAACTGTTTTTGGATTGGGAATGGGTGATTTTTCTTTTACATGTGAAAGCAAATGACACTTATCAGCTCTGTTTATATTAAAATATTGAGAATTTTCAAATCTTTAGTTTCTTTGGTTAATTATGTTATGCAAGAACCAAGTAGAAATTATATTTCAAAATTATTATTCCTGTCCTTTTTATTATCGTTATGAAGTACTAGTAGGATCATTAGAATTTTTAAATGGAAGTATTATCAAATCATACATGTTCTTATGTGGCTTGATTATTATGATTTTCTTCATTTTACAGTAATGACTCGCACTACAGATTTTCAATAGTTAAAAATATGAGGAAAGATTTTAAGATGATTCACCAATTAAAATTACTGCTGAAACAAAAATGTGTTTTGGTTTGGAAAATTTGAACAAATGATTGAACATTTTATAGAAAGAATATTTGTTTTTGTATTCTCTATCTATATATTGTAACATTTTAATTTTTTTATTTCTGTAATGTTAATTTTGTTGAGAAGCAATCATTATGCAGTATTCTGGGTATTACACATATTTGTAGATTTATGAGATGAATGAGTTTTTCCCTGAATTTTATCAGTAACTAGTTTATTAACATATTATATTATATGACAAACAATATTATTCCAGTCACTTAACCTTTTAAAAAAACCTTCATAAAAGTCTTTTTTATGATTAATATATTTTAAAGTAACAAATAGTCTTTAAAACTATTTTCATTTTGTATTGTTGCTACATAGAAATATTTTAAATTAAATGAAATTGTGAAAATTATATTTAATTAAATATATAAATGTAGTCATTTTGTTGAAAAAAATTGACACTCAGTTTTTCTAAAATTTATGTTAATGTAGCTTTAAAAATATGTAACATAAAGTATTTAGACAAGAAAAAAAGTGAACAAGAATCCACCCTATAAAAGGCAAGATAAAGTAAAAAGAAAACTAATGTCAGATCTTATTTTATAGAGTTAATTCTCTTATAAATAAATCATAAAATTCTATGTTAGTAACTAAAAAAAACTTAGTAACTTTAAATAATAATTTGTTTCAATAAATGTTATGAGTATTTAGACATGTTTTTTCTTCTTCTATCATTACAATTAATTTATTGAATGAATATATATATATATGTGTGTGTGTGTATTTTTCTACATTAAATTTCAGTCAAAGGCAGAAACTTCAAAGAAGCGAGCTACAATGCTTAGTGAAATGCATTTTCGTAACTTAAGACAGAAGGTTTTATTAATGAATAGAACAGAAGAAGCAGCACGCCAATTAGAGGTATAATATCATTTTAATTGAATTGATAATTTTGGATTAAAAAATTATTATTAAATCTTATTTTAAAAATGTATAAATGTGTTGATAATTTATATCTGAATATTGTGCAAAGTTTTCTATAAACTAGATTTGCATTAGCAACAAAAATGGGAGTATATTTTGCAATTTATGTATGTTTATATGCAATTAAAGGTGTCAATAATTGTATTAGGATTAAATCTTTTATAGTGGCTTAAGTTTTATCAGAGTTCTAAAAATATTAATATATAAAATTACAAGTTATTCAGCTTGATAGGGATTTAGTTTGTAGAAAACAGCCAGATTATTGAGAAAATTATTCCTGCATGATGCAAAATCTTGTTTAGGACGTTCTAAATAAGATTCTTCTCCCAAGACTATTCAGAACTCAAAATGGAAAGTTTCCAACTCCCTACAATTCTGAATTCATCTCAAATGATTGTAATCCATTTATTTGAGCTGCTGAAAGAATATTTTAATTGAAAACTTTGTGCACTAAAGATTTTACATGAAATAAAACTACAATTATAATAACTGCTGTAATTTTATGCAGCTGGTATTTTGAATTTGATAAACAATTACACTAGTATATTAATGATTCAATAAATAAAAAAAATAAATATTTTTTTGATAATTTTATTAGTTGATTCTTGAAAGTATAATCAGATATTAGTTTATATAGCATCTTTTTGTATTTAATCTTTTATATGAACAAAATATTTTATTAAAATAATATTGAAATTCTTAATTTCTTCATAAATACATTTTAATATTTAAAGTGTTTTTAATTATAAAAACTCATTTTCTTTTAAAATTTAATATCTGCAAAAATATGCCATTCAGTGTGTAATTGATGCTAATACTATGTTGATTCTTAGATATTTGTACCAAAAAAATAGTAATTGATGGTTAAGATGCATCTTATACAGCTGCCTACCAAAGATGTAATGTAAATGTAATTAGAATTTTATTACATTTACTCATAAAATATTTCATTATGCATATGGAGTATATTGATTTTTTGTAAACTGATGGAATATACAGCAAAATTAGTATGTCATTGCAATTTGTTTATATTTGGATTTAAAAATGCAAACTGTAAATTAGCTTTGTGTTTTTTCATAGAAAATAAGCTGAAAGTAATTTGTATAAACCTCCCAGCCCGTCTATCTTCTGTCACCATTATATTCAATGTAACTTTAATAAGGCTTATCATACATGGAACCTTTTGTAAATGCTTATTGCTTAGTAAACAAAAGAGAAGTTACAAAAACACACAATATCATTACAGACTTTTTTGTCAAAATGCATTTTGGCTATTGCCCTCTTCAGTTGACCTTATACTGATTCTGTTTTCTTATGACATTGCAACATACTGTACTATGAAGGTTTTACATATTGTTGCTTTTTATCAACTAGACAAATTGTAATTTCTAAATCACAATAAAACTATATACATCAACAATAATGTAATATGATAAGATCTTATTGAAGTTATATGAAATATAAAAGTGACACAACAATTTTCCATAAGATGAAATTGTTTGAATTCTATTGATGATATGAAAAATGTTTTAAATAATGAGCAGATAAGAATGTATCTTATTTGTTTGTTATTCATTTTATAATTTCAACTGCTTTTATTGAAATTGCCAGTTATGTAATATTTTTTCCTATGGAAAAATAAATTTACTTTTGCTCTTTTCTACCTCTTAGAATCTTTATTAATAATCTTTAATCTTAATAACTAATGCTAAATTTGATAATGGAAAAGGATTCATAGCTGAATATTTGTAATTTTTAATTTCTGAAATCTTTAAATATTTATAGGATATTTACTAACTGAACTTGCTAAATTAATATTGTTTAATTTAATTAATGCAGTAAAGGAGGTACTTAACCTTTTGAACTTGTTTCATTGAAAATCTCCTGAGAAAGTTGTGGCACACTTCAGACAGTTTTATGATGTTTAATTAGCATTATAATTTATTGTTTTTACATTAAAATTATTGAGAGACAGTAATATTTAATTAGAAAAAGTCTGTTTCTAATTAATTTTTTAATTTGCTTAAATGTTAAGCTGAGTTTGTAGTGTGACAGTTTCAATTTTTCAGATTCTAAATTGAAATTATGATGATTATTCATTTAAAATATTTTATGAAAACAAAATATATTTGGATTATATTTTCAATGTAATTTTGCAATGTTTTTACAGTATAATATACTTAATATATTAATAAATGTAACTAATATAAAATTATTATTGTAGAGTACAAGGCTTCATTCTAATTCTGGATTTATGGAAGAGTTCAGTGTTAGGGAAGATTTAATGGGATTAGCCATAGGTGCCCATGGAGCAAATATACAAAATGCTCGAAAGTTAGAGGGTGTTACTGGAATTGATTTAGAAGAAACAACTTGTACGTTCAAAATTTATGGAGAGGTAAGTAAATTGATAAATTATTATTATATATATACAGCTGAATCTTATTGACACAAGGGAGAATTTTTAAAATTTTAAATTATTTGTTTTTGAAAATTAAACTAGTTCTATGCTAGTTTCCAATGTTTAACTGTTTCATATTTTTTTTTTGAAACATTAAATTTTTTTTTGTTTTTTTTTTCTTCTTTGCCTCTTTACTTGCTTGAGCTTTTTTAGCTAAGAGAAATTTCTATTTGATTCATGAGTGGCATCATAAAAAACATAGCTAAACAACTCCCTCTATATAGATGCAAATGTTGCTAAAATTTGAAACAGTTTTGTTGCATCTCCAAAACACATGTATTCTATAAATTTGTTGACTATATACTGTTTTTTTTTTATAACAGAGATATTAACTTTTTGTTATGTAAGTTTATACTTAAAAAAATGAGTTAACTGAAATTTTTAACAAATTTTGAATTTTAAAGAGAATAATAGAATGTTTGATTTATCCAGTTATTCAAATGAATCAAGTTTGAATTAATCTTATTTGGTTATATATAATTTCCTTCTACTCTTTTGTTACATTAGCTTCATTTTATTGTAATAATTTATTGATTTTATATATTGCATTCTATAAAGTTTTTAATATAAAAAATAAATAAAAATTATCGCAAATAATTTAGAAATACTCTAGCTTATAAATAATGATTACATTAAAATCGATTATTTGTTGATGTTGGGTGGGAGTTTGAGGAATAAATGAAAAAAGCAATTTATGGAAGGTGTTTTAAAAAAATTATTTAAAAACATTAAAGGTAAACATATATGTATTTCCAATAATACACAATGTCAAATAAAACAAGTGTCATAAAACAAGTTCAAATAGTCAACTTTAATTTTTAAAAAAATTTATAATTGTTTTTGTTATAGTACATTCCTAGTCTTTACAGATGTAATTTTGCAAATGTTATGTAAAAGTACCAATTGTTTCGCCTCTGCTTTCTGCATCTCAAATTATTTGATACATTTTCACATCTATAATTTCGCTAAAATTAAGTTTGCATCTTCTGTCAACTTTGCCTTTGTCACTTTTGCATTATTTCCTTACTTTTAAGCAACAAAATACAGTTGACCCCCTATAACATGGTAGATACGTTCTGTTTTTCATGAAATTGATGTTTTAGGAGACCTTGCCAATCACAGACCGACACATGTGAAGTTTACGGACTACGGCTGTTTGAAAGGTTTTCTTCCATAAAATTAATAGATTCCTAGACTAATTTGACTCAACATTTCCAAAATACGTATATTTTTTTGGGAATAATTCGTATAAACTATGCTATAAACAAAAAATTGTAGGATTACTTACTGAGTGTGCACCATTCGACGTCGCCATTGCTTAAGCTTGTTTTCATTGCAGAGCAGTGCACCAAACTGCGGCCACGATTTCTGATAAGTTATTTTGCTGCGAAAACTTCATTGAACTTTGGAGACATCATTAATATAAATAATTTTTATGGCTGTTGAATAAGAAATGTTTCTTTCACAAGAAATGTATAAAATAAGTGCTGTATTAGACTTACGATACCTAATTTACATACTGTACAGATGATAGTAAATTCAACTTACTCGCCTAAACTCTCTGTAGCGTGGCGCTGGATGGCGGAAAGTATATATATAATTATAATAAAGTTACAATAAATTAAGTTAATATATAATTATATGTACAGTACCTAATTTATATATAATACTGTACAGACGATAGTAAACTCAATTTACTTGCCTAAACTCTCCGTAGCGTGGCACTGGACGGCGGAAAGTAGTTCAGCTGCCCGATGATGTTTTACCGAATTATAGGAGTTTTTTTACCATGTTTGTACGGATACTGTCGCAATTTTTTCGCCGTCATATAGGAATTTGAACTATAGGAACCCATGTTATAGGGGGGTCGACTGTACTAGAAACAAAATAGGAACTAAATAACTTGCGCAGTAGCAAATGCTTACTACTAACTTCACAGACAATTGATGCCTTCCAGTGACTTAATAGTTTGATGAATAATTGAATGACAGATAAAAGAAGTTTCACTTTATTTCAATTACTTAACTTGCATGAGTCAGTTTTTCTCTAAAGAATTTTAGTAAACTGTTTAAATTAATTTTATTTGATTATAAACTTAAAAGTTTTTTCATCACATGAATTTGTCAAGTTAATATTTTATTTTTCATTTGTGTATTGATTTTGATATTTGTTTTTTAAACTCTTAAAAGGTATCAATCACTATAAGATTATAAGCAATTCCTCAATGTAATAATATTAGATCATCAAGCTAAAAATGTAATTCTTGAAAAACAAGAGTTTAAATTGTAAAATCTTTCAGATTTAAATACAATAAATTTCAAGCATGCATTCAGTATATATTAAAAAGAGGTATGAAACAACAATTAATTGAAATTATTCATGAACAGTTTTTTGTATGAATAGGACATAGAATATAATCATCAAAAAACATAATAATCTATTAAAGTACATAAAATAAGTTTTCAAAGGAAAAGCATGGAATTTCAATCAAGCAAAATATAGATAACTAATAAAATTTGCAATTGGAATACTAAAAAAAGAAGAAAGCTTATAAAAATGATATATCAATATATAAAAAGTCAATATTAATTTTAAATGTTTTTTCTGCAAATAATATCAAATTATTTTTGTATTTCAAAGCAAAATTATAGAATTTGTTGATTGTTTATACAAATCGGAGTTAAAATTTATAAATTGATAAACACATATTTCAGTTTTAATGGAATAGTAATAGAAAGTAGAATTTCTTACCTTAAATTTGTCAGTTTTGAAAGTGCAAGTTAAAACTAATGCAGGAAATAAACTATAATGAAAATATTTTAGTTCAAGAAATTGGTATTATATCATTTTTATTAAATAGAAATTTGAAATATAGTTGTTTAAAAACAAGTAATTATTCAATCATTTAGTTCTTTTTATTATTATTTTTTCAATTTGTCATATATTTTATTATACTAATGTATACAGTGAAACCTGTGTAAACTAGATTTGTACAGTACTGAATATTTCTTCTAGTTTGGCAACTTCGTTTTGAACAGGCCTTTTTTAACACAGAAAATGCTGCATTTATAAGAATTTTTCCCATTTAGATAGGTTTTTGTTTTATTAAGGTTTCACTTTGAATAAGTTTTACTGTATATAAATAAATTTTGTCATTGGATAGATAAGTTAATGATTGATTTTCATGAATGATGGATGACATCGCAATTTTCAAGGACCATATTTTCATTAGTAGAAGCATCTGTTGAAACTTGTACATCTTATATTTTTTTTAAGATTTCTTCAGTTTACATATGATTTCATCATTCATGTCATATCTGAAAATCTTTTTGTATTTAAAAAACTGAATATTCATGAGAATTATTAGTTTAAATAAAATATATTAATAAATCTAATTTGTTATTATTTATATTTTCAATGTAATTTTGCAATGTTTTTACAGTATAATATACTTAATATATTAATAAATGTAACTAATATAAAATTATTATTGTAGAGTACAAGGCTTCATTCTAATTCTGGATTTATGGAAGAGTTCAGTGTTAGGGAAGATTTAATGGGATTAGCCATAGGTGCCCATGGAGCAAATATACAAAATGCTCGAAAGTTAGAGGGTGTTACTGGAATTGATTTAGAAGAAACAACTTGTACGTTCAAAATTTATGGAGAGGTAAGTAAATTGATAAATTATTATTATATATATACAGCTGAATCTTATTGACACAAGGGAGAATTTTTAAAATTTTAAATTATTTGTTTTTGAAAATTAAACTAGTTCTATGCTAGTTTCCAATGTTTAACTGTTTCATATTTTTTTTTTGAAACATTAAATTTTTTTTTGTTTTTTTTTTCTTCTTTGCCTCTTTACTTGCTTGAGCTTTTTTAGCTAAGAGAAATTTCTATTTGATTCATGAGTGGCATCATAAAAAACATAGCTAAACAACTCCCTCTATATAGATGCAAATGTTGCTAAAATTTGAAACAGTTTTGTTGCATCTCCAAAACACATGTATTCTATAAATTTGTTGACTATATACTGTTTTTTTTTATAACAGAGATATTAACTTTTTGTTATGTAAGTTTATACTTAAAAAAATGAGTTAACTGAAATTTTTAACAAATTTTGAATTTTAAAGAGAATAATAGAATGTTTGATTTATCCAGTTATTCAAATGAATCAAGTTTGAATTAATCTTATTTGGTTATATATAATTTCCTTCTACTCTTTTGTTACATTAGCTTCATTTTATTGTAATAATTTATTGATTTTATATATTGCATTCTATAAAGTTTTTAATATAAAAAATAAATAAAAATTATCGCAAATAATTTAGAAATACTCTAGCTTATAAATAATGATTACATTAAAATCGATTATTTGTTGATGTTGGGTGGGAGTTTGAGGAATAAATGAAAAAAGCAATTTATGGAAGGTGTTTTAAAAAAATTATTTAAAAACATTAAAGGTAAACATATATGTATTTCCAATAATACACAATGTCAAATAAAACANAAATCTTTATTAAAATTTTCTTAAGAAGTGATACATATTAATATAAATTGAACAATGTTTTCTTCATCATCACTAAGCAGTATTAACCAAGGGCGTTTTATTTTTGGCAAGATATCCTTATATAACCTCCCTCTGAGCATTTTTCTGCATTATCTTCAGATCCCTGCTCTACCTTTTGCAAAAAATATGTTATTTTAGATTGCTTGTTTTTAGTTAAAAGATCTTTATGAATTTCCTTATATGTGCTAAGCACTTATGAAGTTCTCTTTTAAACTTTGTGCTCCTTTCATTTGAAGGATCTTTATTTAAGAAATATGACTCTAACTGTTCGGCTAAGCCTAGGCTTTTCTTTATGCTTTGTAGAGTAAACTTTTTAACTTCTTTGTCTTTACCTGTGCTATCATCCTCTGAGTTATCATGGATTCATGGTCGGAGGTGCAGTTCAATGCTTAAAAACCAGTGACAGAATAAAGCAAGTATGGAATAAGGGAAAAACATCAGGCAACACCAAAAGCAGAAGCATCGAGATCTGGTAAAACTGAAACAAGTTTCGAAAAGGACCACGTGTATCGACAGAAGGCGGGAAAAGAAAATTTACATACTTAAGTACTAATAGTTCACGAAAATTATGCAGGAAAATCTGATAGTACATATGTGTTCGAATGAAAAATGTAAAATGAGGTATCTATCGCACTTAAAAGCTTTATCATGTTTATTGAACTGTTGTACAGGGATTTCCCTAATTTAAAATTAGATAAAGTTCGCTTTTAATAATTTTTATTACTGTACATTTCATGTTGTACGAGGGTTTTACCCAATTTTCGAACCATGTTAGAGTGAATTCCTGCTACAGAAGTGCCGTGTTATATGGGGATTACTTGTACTTTAATTTTAACATTATGAATATCAGTTATTATAATGTTAAATGTAATGAATACAAATTATTTTTTCTGATTTTTTTTTCAATTTTGAGAATGTCTTAACAAAAATGGAATAGAAAAGTTAGTTGGAAAGACCAAAAGTTTTTTGAATTTTTCAATAGAAAATAACATTTTAAATGGAATTTTGTTTTAAATTGAAAAATCGAATATTTTTGAATTGTACATTTATGTTTACAGTTTACAATATAATAAATACGATATTCTATAATAAAATACAGTTTAACCTGGTTATAACGTCATCCATGGGACCGGCAATTTTTTGACGTTATAACCGAGTGTCGTTATCTGCGGGGTCATAATTTCAGTTCCATAAAAGTATCAAGTCTGTTTAAGAATCTATTATAAAATTCATTAATTTAATATCGTATGTATAAAAGTGCAAACTAAATATTTAAATCAACTTTATTTACATTATTATGTCTAAATTTACAACGATGTAATTAAAAATTTCAAAAATTATTTTTTATAAGAAATTTTTATTTGTCAAGTTTCGATAATGGCGGCACTTTCGGTTTTAACGCCTGGATGATAATTTTCTCGTTTCTTGCTTATCTATCAATGGACATGAAGTCCAATATATTTCACTTTTAGGTTAAATTAATGTATATCAATTAAAAAGAAACAATAAAAATATTCACTTAAAAAAAGTCAGTTATTTTAGATTGTAAACTACAACACGAGTATGAGAGCTATGCAGACTAACCCACTGTCACGTCGTTTAAAGGGGTGGCGCATCTCACCCCACCGAATCAGGTGGTGACAGTACCACCCACAATCGTTCTAGGAAGGGACTCTGACTGAACACGTAGTATTTTCTTTGATAAATAAAATTTATAATTTAATTTTGTAAATTTAAGAATGCTTCAAATATGACGTTAAAACAGGGTTTTATGTCGTTACAAGTGGGTTTTTTAACATTATCTAGTATAGTAAAATCGTGGGACCGATAAAAATTTGACGTTATATTAGGGTTGTCGTTATATCCGATGTCGTTATAATCGGGTTAAACTGTAATTTTAAACTATTAAGTTAAAAAGTAAGACAAATAGTATATGAAAAAATTATAATAAGTGTAAACTAAAAACTTATAAACATATTACATTTAGTTAAGTAAATGATACTTAACTTGTATATTGCTTCTTATAATTTAACTTACTTGATTTCAACTAATATAAAATACAATGTCATTAGATTAGTTATTAATTACAGAGTTATTTACAGAGTTATTCATCAAAGACTTCCAACCAATGTATAACCAATGCTTGTTATCAATAAAATTATCTTTTTTTATTCACTAATTATTCTGTAACAATTTCATACTTCATTGTTAGAGAGAATTTATAGAGGCAAATTTCTCAAATATCTGTAGTTCTTTGCAATATATTTTTCAATAAATTTGATAGAGATTTGTGTATGATTCTTATTTGGTTTATTTTCTCAATGTTCCAAATAGTGCATTCTCACTAATCAAAGTTAATTATTGTAGACAATTGTTCAGCTTAGCCAAGTTTCAAAGGAAAGGAAATCAAAAATAACTACAAAAATATGTATAATTAAAAAATTTCAGTATAAAAAAAAAGTTTATAATACTGTAAATTTCAAAAAATTTGGTGCATATAGTTATTCAAATAATATAAAAAATATATTTTACTACAACACAAAATGAAAATTACTGCACAAACTCTGCAAGCCTGGAACATATCATAAAAATAGCAACCAACTGAACCTTAAAAGAAATTCTTCAGGATATATCCTGATGAAGATCTCCTGTGAAGATTGAAAACATTAGAATTTACAATAGAATATCCTGGAATTTCTTTTAAGGTTCAGTTTGTTGCTATTTTTATGAAAATTGCTACTTGCTTTTTTTATTTCATTTATATTAAAAGAAAAATATGATAGTATAATGTTTACATTCAAAACTTACTTTAAAAAAAGGAGAGAAAGAATTTACTTAGAAACCTAGAAAATTTAATATTCCAGAACATTGTGATCAACTGGGTTATATAATTTAAGGTTACTTGAATTAATTTATTCTAGTTTTAGATAAAAATATTTTTATTGTGAAATTTAATTTTAAAATGAATTTACTTTTGATCAGACCGAAGAAATTGTAAAGAAAGCCAGGTGCATGTTGGAATATGCGGAAGAATCAATTCAAGTGCCTAGAGCCCTAGTAGGTTAGTAATTATTTATGTTTATACTTTATTCAGTCTTGAATAGATTTAAAAAATCAAAATTACAGTAAGACCTCGCTTAATGCTGATTTGATATAATGCCGTCTGCTCGAAGCCTAAAAAAAGCTCAAAATTCATGCTGATTTAAATTATTACATCATTTTATTGATTCGTACATAATACGATTATTTATGAACACAAACCAATCAGAAAAAGGTGGCAAAAAGGTGTACTTTCTTTAAATCTGTTTATTTGGTGCAATTTTGGAAAAAATATATAATATCATGGATGTCACAGGCAATATCAGATTTGCTTGGCAAGAATTAACTGATAAATGCACGAACGAAATGTGGAAGAATTTATGGCTGAAGGTATCCAAGAATTTTCAACGAGAAGAGACTATTGCTGTATTGTTAGGTTGGACAAACTCAACAATCGATACAGCAGGACTAGGAGATGTAGACGAGCAGGATATTGAGGAGTTACCACAGATTTCTGGTGAGAGTCTTATCAATGATGACCTTCGATAACTGGCAGAACAAGGAATCCATGTAGAACTGGAAAATAGTGATTCTGAAAATGAAGAATCCAAAAAATTTCTCTACATATTTCCTTAGTAAAAGTTTGGTAACGATAACCAAAATTGTTGATCAAATTGTAGTGAATTATCCAGATTTTGAAAGGAGTGCAAAAGCAAAACAAGGCGTTTTGAATGCAATTTTCTGCTACTGACATTTGCTTAAGGAAAGAAAAAGCAACAAATGAAATTTCATGACTTTATTGCCAAAAAAAAAAAAAACAAAAATTTCAGAGAAGTCAGGACCTTTGTCACAAAAAATGAACTATTAATATGGAAAAAATGAACTAATTAATACATTATTATACATTTCTGTGTGCATATGTTTATGTTATTTAACATACATTATTATATAGATTAATATAAAAATAAATTAAAATCAAAGTAAAATTTGTTTATTTTCGGTTGCGTGTTCCCCTATCCTATTATGTTAAAATAATCTCATTAAAATGACCTCGTTTAACACTGTTTCGTTTAGCGCTTTGTCGTCTAGGAATGCATCCCGTGTTAAGCGGGGTCTTACTGTATTTGGTAATTTTTAAAATTAGTGTTAGAAATTTAATTTTTCTAGCAATTTGAGAAAAAAATTACACCAGTTTTATATAAAATTTTGAAGTATTAATAAAAGTTTTTTCTGAAAGAGAGATTAAATGATTTTTCTCTTAGTAAGGTATTAAAAGATTTGCATCTTTCTTTAACATACAGACTGCCCTCATTTTACATAAATTAACAATAATGCTGATTTCAAATTTCTCCGAAAAGTCCAAAATTTTTCCAGTATAGAATATTTTTTGCGACTGCTAATTGCAATTATTTTTTCGTGCCATGTGGTAGTATCAGTAGCAATTTTGCTTTTTAATAGTGATTCTAGAGGTTACCAACATTTAATAGTGATAGTAATATTGGTTACAAACATTTAATAGTGAAAGTAATATTGGTTTGTTTATTAAAGTGTTTATTGTTCACACAATATTTTACTATTTTAAAAGTTATTCAAATAAAGTACATTTTGAAATGAGTTTGAAATTTTAAAAAGTTATTGCATAATAATAAAAATAGAAAAAGAATAACCATGTCAAGTAAAAGAAAATTAGTGAGTTCAAATGTCCAAGTCTGTGTTGCAAAATAAACCCAGACTGGGAATGAAGTGACTTTATAAGAAGGAGTTAAGTGAAGCTTTAGCATCTTATTGAAAAAATCTCAAGAAGAAGAAACAAGAGGGACAGCAAATAACTTTGGATTTATGTTTTATGAAATTGCATGATTCTTAACCTAGTTTGTCATCAATGAATGACCCTCAACTGGAAACTGAAGTTGTCCAGTTTCAATGCTGTAAGAGTTCAACATAGTGACTGTATAAAAATTACATAATTGATTTTTGTATGCCTAAACTAATTTATTATTATTATTCTATATTAGTAAAATCTTGATACTAAGCATGTATTTATTGAAAAAATATGTATGCATATATACGAGGATGATTTCAAAAAGTAAAGTAACAAGAGCTCTCATGGGTGTCATATTCCTCCTCTTGTTTGAATTTCCCATTAGGGCAGCAGCAGAACACTATAGCTTTATCACACAGTGGTGCAAATGTTGTATCATACTCTTGCAATATCATTTTGAAAATGGCTGCGCTTACAGAAACATGGTCAAACGTGGAAGTGCATATTGTGATTTGGTCTGAAGGGCAACTCACCAGTAGAAATTCATCACCATACACCTCAACAAGTTGTTGAGGTGTATGGTGGTAATGTAATGTCACAAAAACAGGTGTGGTTTGGACCATTGAGTTTGATAAAGGCAAGACAGATGTGCAAACTGAACAAACTGAATTGTTACGGTACTTCAAGTGGGAGATACTGGAACCATCCTCCCTATAGCCCCAACCTGGCACCCTATAATTTCCATCTCTTTGGATCTTTGAAGAAGCATCTGCATGGAGGCGATTCCAAACTGATATGGAAGTTCAGCAAGCCGTCATGGCCTGGCTGAAGGGACTTGATGCAGATTTCTTCTCTGTCAGCATTGATGCCTTGGTATATCGTTGGAATAAATGTTTGGACAAGCATTGTGAGTATGTTGAAAAATAATGTGTACCAGTGCCATAATAATCTGTATCACTATATCTGCCTGTGAAATAAAATTTGTACAGGAGAGCTCTTGCTACCTTACTTTTTGAATTACCCTCATACATATGGATGTTCAGAATGCATCTCTAATTATGCCATTATAAAATGGATTTATTTTTCACCAATTTTGTTTGACACCACCTCCAGGATTGTACCACTGGCTTAAAATGAGGATAGCATGTATTCAAAATATTTTATTGTGGTGTTCATAATCATAATATTTATTTAAATATTTTTAAATAAATATTTTAATAAAAATTTAAATACTTGCAGCATGTTTTTTTTCTGNCTTCTGTCTGATTATTTCTGTTTCGTTGATAATTTTCTTGTAGCAATATTAGATGTTCTCTTTCTTCTGTGGTTTCATTTCTCCGCACCATCTTTTACCTTTGAGATATGATTCAAGACCGCAAAAATTCTTTCTTACGCTTTGGCATTGTTTTGTATATTTTTACTTTTCACACTTCACTATTCACTTTTCACTTTTTTCTGTTATTTGTATACTTTTACTAATGCAAAATCAACTGAAGCATGTGCGTCACACGTCTCCAAAAGTCATTTCCAATATTCACACATAACGGTCCTCAACTAATCCAAAACATTTTCGACTATTCGAAAACATTTAAGATTAAGATTACATTATAGCCAATCTGTGCATTATAGCATTCTGTAAAAACGGGTATGTTTTCACAGAATGCAAGAATTTGGTCCCCCGTTTCCAGACTAATTAGAGAATTTTTACATGGGTCTAAAAATATGTTTGATTTCTTGCAAAAACGCAAAAAACTGTATCTGCGTCTGTAAATCTTGCACGCCGCTTTCTCTTAACACTTCCATTGTTAATACTTTCATTGTTAACACTTCCATTGTTACACATTTTCGAAGTCAACTACTTTCAACCCCCATATCTCCCACACCCTTATAGCTATTGAGACGCAATCACCATAGTGCACGATGGGAGACTTTGGGCTACTACCACACATAAACACCATTCATGCATGATGTGTAGTTTTGGTTGCAGATTGAAATATAGGGACAAACACGTCCATTTTTATATATAGTTATAGATATAGATATAAAAGTTTATGCACAAAAATTTTTTTTCTGTGCTACTGAACTAAGAGATACATAATTATTGCCAAGTATATGCATGTGCCATATAATCGAAAACAAGTCTAATACATAAATGATTCTCAGTTTAGCGCACACCTAAATTGCACTATTCTTTTAAGGAACCGATGAATACTTATAAATAGATCTCCTTGAATATAAAAGAACTCTTCAGTATCTATGAATTACTCAAATTAAATGATTTTGCATTACAGATGCCTTTGTGTCATGAAATTTTATGACTTTCCAAGTTTCAAACTTACATATTTCTGTATATAATTCTTATGTAGGTCTCACTAGTTTGAGGTTTTCAATTTAGCACTGCACTTAATTTATTGCCACAGTGACATATAAATTGAGATTTGATTGTATACAGGTATACCTTGAGTTACGTCATTCTCGATTATATGTCGTTTGTCAAAAAATATATGGAAAAATAAAAATCAAGTTTTAAGTCATTTTATTTAACTTTGTCCATCTGCCANGTGTGAAATGATTTAAAATCAGTTACTTTTTAGCCTGGGTTTTGTTACATTTCAGTTCAGCCAAATTTTTTATAATTATGATTAATAGTTTTAATTTTGTAATATTTATGCTCACAACACTAATTGATTCAGCTATATTGTACAAGTCAACCCCCCTATAACACTGTTGATAATTTCGTTTTATATGAATTCCATGTTGTATGAGTAACTTACATTTTACAAATACGTAAGCTGTTCACAGCCTGGCACAGTATTTGTAAAATCTAAGTGACTCGTACAACATGGAATTCATATAAAACGGAATTATCAACAGTGTTATAGGGAGGTCGACTGTACTGTTGGGTCATTACACATGTGACTTTATTATATGATTCCTTCCGTTAAGGTATATAACAATATACCTAAGGAGATGCCTCAAGTGGACTTTCTGTAGTTTCTGGCCCATTTAGGTGTCAGATATGTAAAGAAAAACTTGGAAAACTATACATACCTGTTAGTCAAGCCTGAGACCAACTACCAGTGTTCAGTGGTTTTATTCATTCACCAGTGGCTGAATGAAATGTGAAATCAATGTATTCAAAGTTTAACATTTATTTTGCAAATATAAGCAAAATAATTTTAAAATATTACCAGTTTATTATTTTTAATGGGAGCATTTATTGTCTCAGAATTTGACAACTTAGATCTAAATAGGTACTA